AAGGAAATCGGCATTGGATCCCAACATGGCTGGCAACCCTCAAACAAGAAGAAATTGGCGTTGAATCAATCCATTATGCCTCTGCCCGTGTTAACTGAGGTTGCTGTTCAGAAGGTGAAGATGGAGATGCTTGAAGACGAAGACCAGAAGGTGAAGATGGAGATGCTTTGAAGAAGAAGACGTTTCTGTATGAGAAACGTTTCAATCTGCCCCTTTAAGTTTTTACATGCAAACTGTGTCGTTTTGTCTATTACGAGTTAGCCGTTATTTAAGTATTGTTCATCTTTGTAGTAGCCTATAAAACAGGGACATGTGGACTAGCGGGCTAATTTAAATTAGCAGTATAAGGGAATGGGCCTAGCCTAGGGGTTCTCTTTCAACGGTTAGAGTAACTACTGTCGGGCTTTATGTTATTAACATGTGGCAGCAAATGATCCAGCGGTTCCAATACCCGCTGCGAGGCCCAACAAAATAACATGTACTTTGTTTTCATATCCAAAGACCTTGCATTTTATTTTAAGCCCTCTGAAACAAAACAATTTTTACGAAAACACCTTTTTTCACTCTTAGCGGACAATTAACGCGTTCTTACTTCCTATAAAGAAAGAGCTTTCCGCTTGCCATTAGCCATATTCATCGATCCGTCGACCTTAAAATCCGGCTTCAATCAGTGTGAAGCTGTTTTTCTCCTCTCGTCATCGGTTTCTGTATGTCCCTGTTTTAAATTAGCCTGCTAGTCAACGTGTCCTTGTTTCTCATACAGAAATCGATGACGAGAGGAGACTAATAATAGTAAAAGACTGGGCGGCAAATAATCGTACGTACGTACCTTTGTGAGCGGCTAAGTAGTGGGGAAGGGCAAGGTCTTGGGCGTCGGCAGCAAGTATACCCTCTGCTGCCTGGTGAATCTTTACCTTAAGAATGCTCAGGGACTTGTTCATGATCTCAACGTCGAGATCAAGACCGTTGCCCTTCAGAGTCAAAGCGTGGAGAAGGTCAACCCATTCTTTGGTCTTGTCCCAGCCATCTTTGTGAAGCCTCGGTTGAACTCTAGTCTGCGGTATAGCCTGCGTGTCAATGAAGGCTTCGACCTTCTGAGCCATAGCGTCGCGCTCCCTCAGAGTCTCGACGTAATCCTTCGCTCTCATCTCCATTTCGTTGCTCCGCTCGATGGTGGCGGCGGCTGTCTCTCCGACGACCGTCCAGACCGTCCTGTCGTCCCGAACCCCACGCGGCCTTGGAATGTACTCGCGATAGAGCTGGCTGTAATCAGTAAAACCCAAAACCGGCTCAATATATCCTCGCAGGGTAGCAGATATCTCCAGCGCGGCCGTAATGTTCACATCCAGGCTAGCGACTCGTGCCGCGTCGCCGGCGGCTGCGGCGGCGCGCCGGCGCTCCTTAAGAAGCTTGATCTTTTCGATAGCTATAGCTTGTCTGTCTACAAACCCGCAGCAGAACACGTCTGGCAGCATGACCGACCTTGGCCATCGGGAGCGCCTGTTACAGAAACAGGAATTAAGTGGACCGAAAATTTTATACGATTTGTGAGCTTTTCTAGAGACTACCGATATAGAATACACGTAGGTATGATCGAGGGACCAAGAAGAGAGGAGAGCAGCAGATCGACAGACAGCTTACATGCTCGATCGAGATGTGGAAGGATTCTGCAATGCCGGCCGGCTATTTGCGCTAGACAGAGATGAATTGCTTGTAGGGCTTCGCTGTTATTTGACTGGGTTTTGCGCTCTAGGGTTTTATCCTCTCACGTTTCTTGCTCACAATCTATCTCTTCCGTTTCTGAGAAAGATTACGAGTTAGTGAGATACTCGGAATGGGATACGGTGCTATAAAGGGCAATTTAGTCAAAATACTAAACGTTCCTCCTAAACCCTAATATATCTACACATAATACATCATTCAAATTGACGGCGGGAGAAGTGGGTTGTCGAGGGTGGGATGTGCTTGAGCGCTGATGACCAAGGATTATAATAAATGGAAGAAAAACAATCCATCTTTGTGGTAGTATGAGAAGTCATGTTTTGGTTTTATCTAGATTTGTAGTACTGGTTTTTCATATTTGTGGTAATGATTCTCACAACGGTTTATAGCACTAGTATTAGTAGCGATTTTACAGATGTGGATCGTATTAGTAGTGATTATGTTACATTACTTTCTAAAATTCACTAATTATGATAATTTAAAATTTCTATATCACTACTAATAACAATTAAATCACTACAAGAACAAATAAAATTGTTAATACAACCACCAAAATCACTACTGATTAATGTAGTAGTAGTTTCCGTACTAATATTTTTCACATCTAAATCGATCTCTACTAAGAAAGAGAAAATTATTTTAAATCTTAATTTATTAATTCAATAATTTTTTGATATACCAAATATGCCCCTCATTATTCTCCACCGTCATTATTCTCCCATCTCAATCAAACTCGGTCGTGACAAAATACAGCACAACCAAGAACTACACTTGAGAGAGCTTCAATACTCATTGCACAAGACTTTAAAGCTAAAGAGATAGACAAACAAAATCACAGAAGAAGACACTGGAAAAGATGGAGCACATCAGAATTCCCACTTCACACAACTGATAAAACCGAGAGAGGGAAAGGAATATCGCATCTTATATCACCATATCCAATTGAGAATGCACATGAAGAAAGCAGTGGAGAAGCTTCAATTTCAATCCCAAATGGTTACACAGAATTGAGAAATTCTCTCTTCTACTTCCATAGTTCAATCTGGTAAAACGAGCATGGAATTTCAATCCCCCTACCGAAATTTGTAAATCTAGAACATCCCAATATAATCCCTAAACTGATAGCCATACTAACCGGAAAATTGAATAAACTTGTAGAACTGTAGGCATACTAACCGGAAAAAGTTGCAGTGGAGGAGGTAGGTCTTCGTTTGCTATCGATGGGAAGAGGGGGTTCTGTGCAGGGTCTTCGTTTGCTATCGATGGGAAGAGGGGGTTCTGTGCAGGGTCTTCGTTTGCTATCGATGGGAAGAGGGTCTTCGTTTGCAATCGACGAAGAGATGCTCGCTCTCGTCGTCCCCTGCTCGCCGCCTTCACTGTCGTCGTCGGAATCCGGCTCGCCGCAGTCAAAGAGATGCTGCAATCGACAAGCTTCTTCTACTCGTCGTCACCCACTGCTCGCCGTCTTCACTGTCGTCGTCAGAATCTGGCTCGCGTGGAGAGGATCGAAGGAAGAGGATCGAAGGAAGAGTAAACGGCGGTGAGAAGAGGTGAGAATAAGGCGTTGTGAATTGAATTCGTAAAAAAATTTCAGACAACCGGTTGTACCGGTTCTCCACCCACAAATAAAATAACAAATTAATAATTTAAATAAAATCTATGGTTGATATAGTTTGAACATAATCTAATGGCTGTAAATGTTTTATAGCACCAATACTATAAAGCACACTAAAATGCCTCACCCAAAATAACTATAATTAATAGGGGTGTCATTTTTACAACCCCTTAGAGGGTAGTCAAGCTAACTCATCCCAGACACCATGGTGACTATACTCTGCGAATTTACATGTTATCGGAGGAGATGTTTGGAGAGTAAGTTTATTTCGAGGTTTAAATATGAGATCTTCATGACGAAAATTGCCAATGGAACCGAATGGTCAAATCTTGTCCGCGTTCCTCAACTTTTTTAATTGACTAATAATATATTGTGATTAGGCCTGAGTTCAGGTACTTAACCCTCATTCTTTAAGTAAGGTATTAAAGCGTTTTTATTGGCTAGCTGGGTGTTAGGTAGTTAAGGTATTTAGGGAATTGTAAATCTACACAATAAATCCCTCTATAATATATAACAGTATTTCATGAGATTTTGAGTATTTCAAATTCCTTGCACTCTCATTAATTGTAGCTAGGGGTAAATTTGTAAGTTCAACTTAGAACTTAAATATCTTCTTACGAGAAGAAAATGTCATTACGAAGACTTGAACTTGAGTCCTTCATATTGATAGTCAATATCCCTAACCAACAACTAGACTACAACAATGTTTATGTATTTTTTGAATTAAAGGGAGAAAATACTAAAATATCTCAAAATCATAAGACTATCCACCGCAACAATCAATCATCAAATTAATTAATAATTGTAATTATTTACAAAGTGAATCATCATGATATACCTAGTTTTATGAATCAACTAAGTGAGTTCCTCTAATCACACAATTCTTCACCAAGAATCAAATAGTACATTTTGAGTTTATGTATGTCTTACAATTTTTACATTTATTAGGTTACATGACTTTGTAGTTTGTAGCAATACAAGGATTGTTTACAAAAGTGTCATACAAAATTTTATTTCAAAACATAAAATTTGACTTTTGTGATCTATGGTTTTGTAACGAGACATTTTCAATGCTATAAGTGAATAACCAAAATTCATTGGCTAACAATTTCCCTAATGATTGACAATTATAACCATGGTTTTTTTACGAATCAGTTACCTGCATGAGTTGTGTTGTTTACTTTTCAAAAGGACATTTGTCCATGAATGATCAAGATGTTGTAAACTTCTAATGTAGTTTTTTAATATTTTGAGTAATTGAATAATTTAGTTTCTTTCATGATAACAATTAGGGTTAATACCCTAGTTTGGCTTGAAGTTTAGCGTAAGTGTCAATTTTGGCCCGACTTTTCTAATAAGACATTTGTGGCCTACTTTGCAAAGTATTGGACAAATTTTGCCCGAAACTTATGTTGACTGTTAAAACTGACGGTCAACTATTTTTCCGTCAGTGACTCAGCATCAAAATGTTGTGGTGGATCTCAGGTGGTTGCCACATCATTGATTTAAATTCAAAAATTCAAAAACCAAAAAACCCAAAATACAATTTCCAATCTCCACGTAACTCCCTCCCTTCACAAGTAAATCACAACTCAATTCACTCCCCGCCACCCAAAAATCATCCCTAACAATCATCGGAACCCTACCCTCGCTACCCATCTCGCTAGTTGCCACCATTCCCATCTTCAGCTACCCGCGCTCCATCTCCCCAACCGTTCTTTTGTCCGTCCGCTTCTGCTGCTGCTCCTTCGAGATCCCGTCCACAAGACAGAAGCTGCTGCCTCTGCCTGTCCATATCCCTCTTCTCGTCGGGCTCGTGACGGTGGCTCAACCGCGGAGGCGAAATGGGAAGCGCTAGTGGCAGCGGCGGCGGTGCGACGCGCGTGCATCCGGCGAGCGCGAGGTGCCGAACCAGAGGGAAGGGGATGGATTGCCGATCTCCTTGTCCTGAATCTGCCGATCTCGTTATCGAACTTGTAGGTGGCAGGCGGTCCTAGGGCAGAAGAAACAACAGAGATGATGGCGACGGCGGCAAGCTAGTTTGGACAGCAACGTCATGTCCTGGGTGGCGTCGTCATCGGGATTGTCTTGAACCGGATGCGGCTGGTGAGGCCTTCTAAGGCGGCGGGTCGTGGGTTTAATTTAGTGCGGCGATTTTTGCCAGGACCGGGGAGAAAATGACGGCGGTGCTGAGTTTATTTAGGGTTGCGATTTGGGTAAGGGAGAAAGAGGGGAAATGGGATGCGGGTTTGGTTTATTTAGGGTTGGGGGGGGGGGTAAAATTATCCAAGAGAGACAGAGGGAATTTTTTTAGTTTGTTAATTTTTTATTGAATTAATAAATTAAAATAATATGATTTAGTGACGTGGCATGACACATTAGCTATTTTTTGTTGAGTCACTAACGGAATAGTGTTTGACTGTTAGATTGAAAGTCAACATAAGTTTCGGGCCAAATTTGTCCAATATTTTGCAAAGTTGGCCACAAATTTCTTATTAGAAAATTCGGGCCAAAACTGACACTTACGTTAACTTCAGGCCAAACTAGGGTATTAACACTAACAAATAAATTATTCGTATAATTACTATTAATATTTATACGATTGTTGTTATTTATCCGGCCAACGGGCGGGCCCAACTCTAGTATATTCTATCCAAAGTATTGTATTCAATATATATAACCCACAAAGACCTACTCTTGGGAAAAGTCGCCTAATGGTGGGTTATAAAGTAAAAAATAAAATTATGTATTTGCTTCCTATATATATATATATGATGCTGCATTAGATAAAAAAACCCACAGAAAATTTACGAAACTCTTGAGGGAATTTTTTCAGAACGATCAAATTTGGGTTTCTTTTAGCAAGGAAAAACAAGTAGATGGAGACAGAAAAATGGGCTTCAAATTTCAGACATTGAAAGTTCTAGGCCTAGCTAATAGTACCTTACTAGTGAGGTGATATTCATCCAATTTATAGTTTACGTGCTATTTAATGAATTCGAACTTCAGACTTTCAGGTTGAAACTAGCTAATATATTTTTTTTTTTATGTAGAGAACTGAAAAACCCTAGAAAATGGAACCCTAATGATAAGCTAACTATTCCAATGGATGGTTTGTGCGGATGGACATTAGTGTGGTAGAACCGCAATTGCGGTTGAACCAAACCGAACCATGAAGCTTGCAATTTGTCCTACGATATATGTTTTAATTAGTTGTTCGCTGATTTGCGTTGACCGAAAGTGAATTGCTTCTATAATTGCATAGCGAAAAAGATAGAATCTTCGGAGCTCAATCACCCAAATACGACATTGACAACTATTTAATTAGATTATAAAACAAATGTATGTGCAGTTTAAAAGTGGTTATGAATCTTTCAGTTTATGATTTGGTGTTATTGTGTGTGTATATATTTTGAGAGTGTATTTGTAGCTAATTAGCTATCTAATTTCTGTATGAGAAAACAGTAATAATGATGATTGATGAAGGGCGTTGAAGGTATTGATGAACACCATCCCTGTTCATTTCGATATGCTTAGCGAAGAGATTCTAGGCAATATGTAGGATTGATTCACACCTCGGTCGAAAAATGATGACTTCGTAAATGTATAGTTCCACAGAAAACAAATAAGAATATGTGATGGCAGCTAGCTTTGAATGGAACGACGCGTTTTTTTGGTTCTAATCTCCACAGCTGCAACGCACCAGAAAGAGCTGTCAAAGCATCTCCATCTTCACCTTCTGAACAGCAACCTCAGTTAACACGGGCAGAGGCATAATGGATTGATTCAGCGCCAATTTCTTTTTGTTTGAGGGTCGCCAGCCATGTTGGGATCCAATGCCGATTTCCTTTCGTTTGAGCGTGGCCCTGTTGGGTGCTGATCTCTTGGAGCGAAGAGCAGCACAGAGATGATCGAATTCCTCCCTCGCCTTATCAAACTGCTTGATCAGTGACTCTTGAAGCTCCTCCTCATCTCTTACCACCACAATATTCTCTTTCACCAGGCCAAGCTTTACCGCTATGTTCTTGATGAGCGACGACGACCAAGATTCTTCGGGCTTCTTGTCTCCATCGCACAGGCTGGGTGCTGCTGCTGCAATCTCTTTCACCAGACCAACCTTGGCCGCTATCTTCCCGTTTATCTCCTCTTCCAGCTTACGGATCTCAAGCATTGTTGTCTTAAGGCCGTCTTTGTCGTCCTTGTAACCATCAGCTTGGACCTTCTCTTCCTTGTGTGCGCAGGCCTTACCTATCTCGAAAAAGGAATGCGCAAGTTACTACATATACAAGACACTTATGTTCTTATACGCTCATCAGAGCTATTGCCAATGAACTAGTGATTAGTGAAAAGCAGCCAACTAGATAGTTTTCGAAAATTCTAACGCGTGACAGTTTTCGAGTCGTCGCTGAAAATAGGAGCTAGGATATATAGGATTTGACCGACGACAACAGGCGCGATGAAATGCAACGGAACGGATCCCAACAAGAAAGTAAAATCAACTCCACTTGACAACCAATAGCGACGACAACAAAATCAACAAACATCTTCCATCCAATTCTACTAGGACAAAATCTTCTTATATAAATAGCGTATTTAAACTATAAAAAAAAAATTGATATAATTGTAAGTTTGGTGACAAATAATAGTAAAAGACTTGGCGGCAAATAATCCTATTCGTACGTACCTTTGTGAGCGGCTAAGTAGTGGGGAAGGGCAAGGTCTTGGGCGTCGGAAGCAAGTATACCCTCTGCTGCCTGGTGAATCTTTACCTTAAGAATGCTCAGGGACTTGTTCATAATCTCAACGTCGAGATCAAGACCGCTGCCCTTCAGAGTCAAAGCGTGGAGAAGGTCAACCCATTCTTTGGTCTTGTCCCAGCCATCTTTGCGAAGCCTCGGTTGAACTCTAGTCTGCGGTATAGCCTCCGTGTCAATGAAGGCTTCGACCTTCTGAGCCATAGCGTCGCGCTCCCTCAGAGTCTCGACGTAATCCTTCGCTCTCATCTCCATTTCGTTGCTCCGCTCGATGGTGGCGGCGGCTGTCTCTCCGACGACCGTCCAGACCGTCCTGTCGTCCCGAACCCCACGCGGCCTTGGAATGTACTCGCGATACAGCTGGCTGTAATCAGTAAAACCCAAAACCGGCTCAATAATTCCTAGCAGGGTAGCAGATATCTCCAGCGCGGCCGTAATGTTCACATCCAGGCTAGCGACTCGTGCCGCGTCGCCGGCGGCTGCGGCGGCGCACCGGCGCTCCTTAAGAAGCTTGATCTTTTCGATAGCTATAGCTTGTCTGTCTGCAAACCCGCAGCAGAACACGTCTGGCAGCATGACCGACCTTGGCCATCGGGAGCGCCTGTTACAGAAACAGGAAGTGGACCGAAAATTTTATACGATTTGTGAGATTTTCAATTTCGGCCATAACTAATCTACTAAATCGTTATATTAGAGGCTAGAACGCAAATAGGAATTTAACGATAAGTCTATATGATTTTAAATTCCTAAAGTGGAAAACTCAATTCCAAACCGAAGAAAATATCAGGAAAGCAGAAACAGACAAGATATTGCACAGAGAAGAAGGGGCAACAAAGGACTCTTTGGTAATAGTTAAATTGATGCATTGTTATCGGTCAATGTATGCATGATAATATACATGTATATAAGAAAATTAGTGTATTGTAGTTTACAACATTTGATTTCTGTGATGGTTATTGTAGTATTTAAACAAGCAATATTACTTTTTGGATGAAATATCACTCTTACCTAGAGAAAATTCAGAAAATGATGCATTGTAACTATCTCAACCAAACTATCATAGCTGCAGAGTAATTTCTGAACCATTAACTAAATTATCTACCTTGTGTTTTCCTTTTTCTTCTTGAAGATACGCATTAGTCCTCTTTAACAAAACAAAAGAAAAAAAACGCATTAACTGGATTTTCTTTTGCAGTAAGATCAACCATCGGTCGATTGAAAGAAAAATGCATAATCGAGGGACCGGAAGATCCATCGATCATAAAATTAAACATAAACATATGGAACAAAATAGAAAAGAAAAAACATAGTCCCATTGTTGTAGAGTAATTTTTGAATTATTAACTAAATTATCAAACCTTGTTTCTTCCTTTTTCTTGAAGAAATGCACTGGCCCTCTGTAACAAAAAAAAAAAAAAAAGATATAGTACATTGAAAAAACAAACACATAACTGGATTTTCTTTTGCAATAATTAAGTATCAACAATCAATCGACGCAAGATCGAGGGACAAAAAGATCTATCATAAAATAGAACAAAAACCTATTGAACAAAAAAGAAAAAAAAAATAGAGTTCCATTGTTGCCGAGTAATCTCTGAATTAACTAAATTATCTACCTGGGTATTTCATTTCTCTTGAAGTGCCACTTTAGCCCTCTGTAACAAAAAGGATAGAAAAAATTGTACCAGCAAACGCATTAAGTGGATTTTCTTTTACTGTAAGATCAACGATCGATTAAAATGAAAATGCATGATCTAGTGACCAGAAGATCCATCGATCCAAGAAATAGATCGATCGTAAAATAGAACAAAGACCTATTGAACAGAAAAGAAAAGAAAGATTGTGTCCCATTGCTGCAGACTCATATTCTGAACCACTAGCTAAATTATCTACCTTGGGTTTTCCTCTTTCTTGAAGAAACGCATTATCCATCTGCAACAAAAAGATAGAAAAAATTGATTTGCAGGCATTAGCTGGATTGAAAGAAAATTGCATGATTGAGGGGCCAAAAGATCAATCGATCTAAGAGACAGATTCATCGTAAAATAGAATTGAGACCTATTGAACAGAAAAGAAAAAAGAAAAAAACAGAATCCAATTGCTGCAGAGTAATGTCTGAACCATTAACTAGATAGTCTACCTTGTTTTTTCCTCTTTCCTGAAGAGATGCCTTAGCCCTCTGTAACAAAATGGATACAAAAAATTGAACCAACAAAAGCTGACATAGATAGAAAGAGGAACGAAGACTAGTGATTTAACCAAATTTTCTTTTGCAGTAAGATGAACAATCCATCGATTGAAAAAAAAAAATGCATGATTGAGGGACAAGAAGATCCACCGATATACAAAACAGCTGAGCTGGATCGTCAAGAGGAACAGTGACGTATTGTTGCAGAGTAATTTATGAACCAGTAACTAATTAATTCTACCTTGGTTTTTCCTGTTTCCTGAAGAGTCTCATTCTCTGTGCTCTGGCGTACTGTAAAACAAAAGCATAAAAAAAGAAACGCCCTGACATTCTTTAAAAAAACAATAAAAAGAAAACGCCGGCATAAAACCAAAGAGGAACGAAGACTGATGCGTTAACTGGCTTTTCTTTTGCAATAAAGATCAACGAGCTTTTCTAGAGACTACCGATCTAGAATACACGTAGGTTAGGTATGATCGAGGGACCAAGAAGAGAGGAGAGCAGTAGATCGACAGACGGCTTACATGCTCGACCGAGATGCTAGCTGCTGTGGAAGGATTCTGCAATGCCGGCCGGCCGGCTATTTGCGCTAGACAGAGTGAGTTACAGAGATGAATTGCTAGTAGGGCTTCGCTAGCTGTTACTTGACTGGGTTTTGCGCTCTAGGGTTTTATCCTCTCACGTTTCTTGCTCACAATCTATATATCTCTTCCGTTTCTGAGAAAGATTAGGAGTTAGTGAGATACTCGGAATGGGATACGGTGCTCTATATGTGAGAGTTTGAAACCTAGCTGCCATGGAGGCTAGGGTTTGTGAAAGAAGAACTAGGGTTTGATTTGGGGGAATGTTGCATACTGCCTTCCATTCCATTTTCTCCAGAATATATACAGAGATTAATACAGTGTTCTTCCTAATCTACTGTACTCTAACGGCTATCAACAACTAACAATTAAACTAAGCCAATTGGCTATTTACACGTGTACTAAGCGCACTCAAATCATCTGAACCTTCTCTTATCTCTGAACGGCGTCGCATCACTTTATTCCTCTGCGTATCAATTGAACGGGTGAAAGGAAGCCCGGTCCAACCGTGATCCGACCCAGTCGTCTTCTTCCTCTTGCAGAGTGTTCCTTTCCTTCTGCATTTCAGCTTCGCTGATCTTCTCCATTGGGACACTCTGCTTCACACGCCCCCTCAAGCTGGCGAGTACAAGTCATGTACTCCCAGCTTGGAGAGCAAGAAAGTAAACCTGTCTGCTGAAAGGCCCTTGGTAAATAAGTCGGCCAATTGGTATTCTGTTCTGAGATGTGAAAGAGTGAGTAAACCTGATTGCAAACGTTCTCGCACAACATGACAATCCACCTCGATATGCTTTGTCCTTTCGTGAAAAACTGGATTCTCTGCTATATGAATAGCAGATTGATTGTCACAATATATCTTGACTGGTTGAGGGTGTGAAACTCCATAAAAGGCAAGTAATGCTTTAATCCATTGCACTTCACAGGATAATTGAGCTAGAGCTCTGTATTCCGCTTCTGAGGAAGATCGAGACACAGTACCCTGTTTCTTACTTTTCCAGGTAACTAATGAACTCCCCAGAAAGGTGCAGTACCCAGTAACTGACTTCCTTGAGTCAGGACATGTTGCCCAGTCTGAATCTGAATAACCACTTAACTGAAGACTAGAAGATGAGGAGAACCATAATCCCTGTGCTGGACATCCCTTCAAATACCTGAAGATCCTGTGTAGGGCTTTCAAATGTACTGTAGTAGGACAGTCCTGAAATTGGCTTAACTGTTGTACTGGAAAGCAAATATCAGGTCTTGTTGAGGTTAGATACTGCAACTGGCCAAGCAAGTGCCTAAACACAGATCCATCTTCTAGTTTTGTTCCATCACTAGCTGATAATGCAGTCTTCATACTCATAGGAGTCTTGGCTGGCTTACATTCCAAGAAATCTGCATTTTCCAACATCTCAAGGCAGAATTTTCTTTGACACAATGAAATGCCAGCATTAGTCTTGGCTATTTCCAGGCCTAGGAAATATTTGAGGTTCCCCAAGTCTTTTATTTTTAACCCCTGCTGCAACTGACCCTTAACACGTTGAATATCATCCAAGTTTGGTCCTGCTACAATGATATCATCAACGTAGATAACAAGAATCACAGTGGCTGATTTGAACACTGAATAATCTTCATAGGACTGTACAAATCCTATTTTAGTCAGATACTCACTCAGTTTTAAGTACCACTGCCTACTAGCCTGCTTGAGACCATAAATTGACTTCTTTAACCTGCAAACCTTTCCTTGCAGGTGACTTAGCTCTCTTAGACCAGGTGGCAATTCCATGTAAACCTCCTCCTCTAAGTCACCATGTAGGAAAGCGTTACTGACATCCATCTGATGAAGATGCCAGTGTTTAACAGCAGCAACAGCCAACAAAAGTTTGACTGAATTGATCTTAGCAACAGGGGAAAAAGTATCAACAAAATCCACCCCATATGTCTGAGTATAACCCTTTGCAACAACTCGAGCCCTGAACCTTTCCACAGAACCATCAGGGAGAAATTTGGTTTTATAAACCCATTTAGAACCAACTGGATGGACATTTACAGGTCTGTCCACAATATCCCAAGTGTTGTTAGCCTCAAGGGCATTAACCTCCTCCTTCATTGCTGCCTGCCACCAGGAATGAGGAGCTGCTTGGCTGTAAGTTTGAGGGTCTGAGGTGAGAGAGATGGAGAGTATATAAGACTTGTGGGAAGAAGGGAGATGGGAATAACTCAGAGAGTGTGAGAGGGGGTAAAGAAGTTTGGAATCCAAGGAAGTAGAGTCAGTGTGAGAAAGGAAAGAGGTGTGAAAAGACTCTAGATGTTTAGGTGGCCTAGTAAGCCTCACTGGTTTTCTCAGGGCAATGGGAGGAGTGGGGGAAGGAGGTGGGGAAGAAGAAGAAGGTGAGAATGGGATAGAGGATGGTGAGGTTGGTGGTGTAGAACCTGGTGTGGAAACAGGTGTGGGAACTGGTGTGGTAACAGGTGTAGAACCTGGTGTGGAAACAGGTGTGGGAACTGGTGTGGTAACGGGTGTAGAATAGGGAGTAGGAGAAGAAGGAACAAAGTCAGGGTCTGAGGTTTCATGAATATTGTGATCAGGAGAAAGTGGAGTATCAGGAAACAGTTCTGAATGAGGAAAAGAAGGAACTGGAGAAGGTGTGGTAGTAGGTGTAGGTGAAGAGGAAAGGAAAGGGAAAATGTGCTCATAAAACTCCACATCCCTGCTGGTGAATACTGTATGAGTCTCCAAGTCATACAGTTTAAACCCTTTAATTCCATAAGCATAACCAAGGAATACTGTCTTGATTGCTCTGGCAGCAAACTTGGGCTTATGAGGTTGGACATTGGTGGCAAAAGCAAGACAACCAAACACTCTCAGATCACTATAATCTGGAGGTACTCCATACAGACATTCAAAGGGTGATTTACCATCCAAAACAGGAGTGGGAATGCGGTTTATCAGATAGGATGCATGCAAAACAAAATGGCTCCAAAAACTGGTTGGGAGACCTGACTGGAACTTCAATGATCTGGCAACATTCAACAGATGTTGATGTTTCCTCTCAACCCTGCCATTTTGCTGGGCAGTGTGTACACAGCTTAATTAATGGATCATTCCATGTTGTTGGTAAAAAGCATCCATCTTAAACTCAAGTCCTTGGTCTGATCTAACAATCTTAACCTTGGTATTGAACTGAGTTTCTACCATGGCACAGAATGATTGCAGTAAGTGCCTAGCCTCTGATTTAGAGTGCATCAAGTAAAGCCAAGTGGAACGGCTGTAGTCATCCACAACAGTCAAAAAATACTGAAAACCATCCATAGAAATTACATTCACTGGTCCCCAAATATCAGTATGTATCATGTCAAAGGGAGACTTAGAATGAGAAGAACTTTTAGGAAATGGTAAACGTTTCTGCTTAGAGAAATGACAAATCTCACAAGCTAAGGAGTCAGGAACCTCAATCTCATTACAAACACTCTTAATATTCTTCAATCTATCTAAAGACAAATGGCCTAATCTCTGATGCCATAGACTGGGACTGTGACTGCTGCTCACTCCAAGAATTTCTGGTTTGCAAATCTCTCCTGGGCCACTGGATTCTCCAAGAAGGTAAAGACCCCTACTTACTGGGATTAAACCAATCCTCTGTTGAGATATAAGGTCCTGGACATAACAAAAAGTGGATTGAAATAAGAGTGAGACTGGACTGTTCTTGGTTAATTGACTAACTGAGATTAGATTGTAGGAAAAAGAGGGAACCAGTAAAACTTTGGTCAGTAAGATGCCACAAGGGAGTTTCACTATCCCTACATGTGTGACTATGGCTTGTTGGCCATTTGGTAAAGTCACAGACATGTTGCTAACTGACCTACATCTAAGAAATAAGCTAAGTGAACAAATAATATGATCACTAGCCCCTGTATCCAGAACCCACACACACTTATCAGTTCTGGTTTGAGAAGTAGAAAAGATTGATTTACCTGTCATGGGCACAGAACTAGCCATAACAGAATTGGCTTGTGAACCACCTTGTGTGGGTGTGGAAGACTGCAACAAAGCTTTGAGTCTGTGAAGCTCCTCTGCTGTAAAGCCTGAGAAGGTTGGTGAGTGTGGTTCATGTTGACTCACAGGACTAGTAGGGGAATATGAACTTGCTCCTCCTGAAGTATTGCCCTCTCCACTAACCACATCAACTGAACCAGCAAACCCTCTTCCTCTGCCTGAGTTGTTACCAGGATTGTTACCAAGAAGTCCATTCTTACGTTTTAACTTCCAGCAATCTTCCTTCACATGGTTATCCTTCTTGCAGTACCTGCAGAAGAGTCCTCCAGGTTGGTGCTCAGAAGACCCTTTATCCTTGGATTGATTATACTGAGTCTTGGACCCTGCAAGTGCAGTTGCTAAGGCAATAGTCTCTTCAGATTTTCCAATATTGGAAGTAGAACCATTCAATTGCCTTTCCAGCTGAGTTACAGATCTGTAAATACTGTCAAGATCAGGAAGAGGTTCAATCATCAGCATCTGGGTTTTCACCTGCTGGTATCTCTCATTCAACCCTAGCAGGAAACGAATGACCTTTCCCCTTTCTTGATAACGCATCACAGTCTCATAAGTGCGAGAAGCACAATCACAGTAAGGTATGGGTTGGTAGGTCTGATGCTCATCCCATACCAACTTCAGATCTGTATAGTACTGACGAATGGTCTTGTTTCCTTGCTTAGTTAGATCCATTTTCTCTTGCAGATTGGCTATTCTAACCGAATCGCCTTGACTAAACCTAGACTTAAGGTAAGTCCAAGCCTCAGATGCAACCTTAATGTTTCGAAGACTAGGTACAATATCCTCAGAAACAGAATTTCTAATCCAGCATACAACTGTACCATTAACACGATCCCAAGTCCCATAAAACGGATCTGTAAGTGCTGGTACCTGAATGGTTCCTAGGACGAAACCAAGCTTGTTTTTGGTGCGCAAGGCAACTTCCATACACTCGCTCCACAGCAGATAGTTGTCGTCGTTGAGCTTGAAGCTAATGACTGGTAGGAAGGAGTTGTCGCTCTGAGCAAGGTAGAACGGGTTGGAGTAAGGATCCTCGTAGCGAGGT